GGATTTACAGGATCAAAGAAGAGCACGATGGGAGCAAACACTACAAAGCAAGATTGGTAGTCAAAGGTTTTCAGCAAAAAGAAGGTATTGACTACAATGAAATTTTCTCTCCAGTCGTGAAATTGTCTACAATCAAACTGGTGTTGAAAATTGTAGCTGTATAAAATTTACATCTTGAGCAGTTAGATGTAAAGACAACTTTCCTTCATGGTGATTTGGAGGAAGAAATCTATATGAGGCAGCCAGAAGGTTTCATAGAGGCAGGCAAGAAAAACCTGGTATGCAGGTTGAAGAAGAGCTTGTATGGTTTAAAACAAGCTCCCAGACAGTGGTACAAGAAGTTCGATAGCTTCATGGGTAGCAGTGGTTTTACCAGATGCCAAGCAGATCATTGTTGCTACATCAAGAGGTTCGACAACAGCTTCATTATTTTATTGTTGTACGTTGATGACATGCTCGTTGCAGGTTCAGACATGCAAGAGATTATAAACTTGAAGCAAAAATTGTCGAAGCAGTTTGCTATTAAGGATCTGGGTGCTGCAAAGCAAATTCTTGGGATGAGGATCAAGAGAGACACAAAGTCGGGGACTTTGATGTTATCACAGGCTGAGTACATCAACAAAGTACTCTCCAGGTTCAACATGCAAGATGCTAAACCAGTAAGTACACCTTTAGGTGTTCATTTCAGACTCTCCAAAGACCACCAATCACCAAAGACGGAGGAAGAACGTGCACACATGGTGAAGGTGACGTATGCCTCAGCAATTGGAAGTCTGATGTATGACATGGTTTGTACCAGACCAGATATTGCTCATGCAGTGGGAGTTGTTAGCAGGTACATGAATAATCCGGGTAAGGTACACTGGGAAGCAGTCAAATGGATCCTCAGATATATGCGGGGTACCACAGACAAAGCACTTTGTTTCAAAGGTGGAGATACAATACTGACAGGCTATGTAGATGCTGACTTAGCCAGAAATGTTGACATCAGAAGGAGCACTACATGGTATGTCTATACTCTAGGAGGAATTGCAGTGAGTTGGGTTTCTCAACTACAGAAGATAGTTGCTCTCTCCACAACTGAAGCAGAATATGTCGCTGTTACGGAAGCCAGTAAGGAGATGGTTTGGCTCCAAAGTTTCTTGGAAGAATTAGGCAAGAAACAAGAAAACAATATCTTGTATTGCGACAGTCAAAGTGCTATCCATCTAGCAAAGAATCCGTCTTTTCATTCCAGGACGAAGCACATACAATTGCGATATCATTTTATCCGGTCTCTTCTGGAAGATGAGATTTTGAAACTTGAAAAGATCAGTGGAGCTCAAAATCCAGCAGACATGTTAACAAAGACGGTGACTACAGACAAACTGAAGTTGTGTTCAGCTTCAGTTGGCATGCTAGAATAAAAGACCAGAAATACTGCTGCATCGATCGAGGTGTGAAGACAGATTGAAATAAGTCTTCAAGTGGGAGATTGTTGGTCAAAGCAGCACATGGGCTGCAAAATTATTAGCAGCTGGTGGCTGCTTGAAAATAATAATAATAGGGGGCTAAATTTTTTATTATTTTATAATAGGGATAATTACAAAATTGAATCATTGAACTTTAGGGTATTTATAAAGATTAGTCCCTAAGTTTCAACTATAAGTACCCTAGCTTCAAAATCATTTATTCCTTCCAATACTAGAGAGTTTTTTTGTGAGTAGTGAGTGTTTTGTAAACACCTGTAAATTTTCTCTCTTAGTAAACGATCTGCAGCAGTCCGGAGACGTAAGCAAAATTGGCTGAACTCCGTTATCAATTTCGGGTATTATTTTTCCGCTTTTATTTCGCATTCGCACTAATCTGGTTATAAGGAAAATTACTTGTACTCGGTTTATTTTTTTTTTCTTAACAGATACAACTCTGAATATGGAGTTCTCACATGATTATAGGAATTCTGTATTATTGGTGGGAAACTGAGAAACTTACCTGTATATGGCTTGATATCAGTATTAGGTTTATGTGTCAAAGTATATTGATGCATTTACTTAATTAGATTTTAAGTGGAGGGATGCTTAATCACGCCCTTATTATCGATAGTCATGATTCTTATACAAGAATCTCCCTTGCTAGTTACAGGAGATCCTCAAAAACCAACACTTGAATTTTTTTCTACCACCTTATTTTGCTCGAGTTTTCTACAAGCAAGTGATTTAAACATGAGAGGAGAGGATGTCGGAACTTAATTCTGCAATCATTATGGGCGTGATATTAGTGCTCAACTCTTTTTAACCGAAAACACCACATACCTACTTTAATTTGGCAAAGAAGATAAATATAATATCAATTACCCTTTTCTGCACTTGCACAGCTTCTGTTTACACTAATGGAGTGAAAGCTAAATATGCTCCTTTTTAGTAGGAATTTCAGTTGAAAGATGCTACATAAGACTACATTACCTCTGGGATAGATTTTTTTTTTATTTTGTTAACTATTCTCGAATGCCCTCAAATCATCTACCTAAAAGTTGGTGTTCGTGTAACAATGGACGAACTTAATTCACATTTGTTTGCAGATATGCACAATACGGTGATGTTTCTCCCAAAGTAGATGTATATGCCTTTGGGGTAGTGCTCTATGAGCTTATTTCTGCTAAAGAAGCAATTGTCAAGGCAAACGGTTCTCTTGCCGAATCAAAGGGTCTTGTTGCCCTGGTTAGTATGCTTGCAATCTCTCTACTCCAATCCATGAAAACTGGTAGCAAATGGGCTGAATGCTTTGAGTAATTCCTTTAGCAAATTAAAACCCTTTTGTCCCCTTGCGCAGTTTGAGGATGCTCTTGATGAGCCTGATCCCAAAGAAGCATTTCGCAAGCTTGTTGATGAGAGACTTGGAGATAATTACCCACTAGATGCAGTGTTCAAGGTGAGACCAGTTCCAGGGAAATAATATTCTAGGATTTTCATTTCGTTGTGTTTCAGTTTGATAAAAGTCAAGGATGATATTATTGCAGATGGCTCAGCTTGCCAAAGCGTGTACACATGAAAACCCTCAGCTACGACCGAGTATGAGATCCATAGTGGTTGCTTTAATGACACTTTCATCCTCAACAGAGGATTGGGATGTTGGTTCTTTCTATGAAAATCAAGCTCTTGTCAACCTTATGGCCGGAAGATAAGGAACAAAAAAGGGTTTAGTATACAGACGATCCCGTTGGTATGGTCAAAAGGGAAAATATACAATAGGGCTGGATAATTTAATCATTGTTTGTTTGATATTAATGTAAATAAGTAATGACAATCATTGCAAGTTTTTGAAAAAAAAAACAATAATGAGAGTTATTTGATTAATCATGTCTGCAATATTTATGGTAAACTATTTATTTGGTATTTCTTGTATTATTTTATTTTTAATTTGGTCACTAAATTATTTTTTGGTAAATTCATAGCTATTGTTATGTTTTATTTCAATTTTGATCGTAAAAATTAACATAGATAGTGATATATCATGATATAATAACAAATCCTAAAACTTATGCATTCTATCAATTAGGTCTTAATTCAAAATAACTTATCAACAATTTGGATAAAACCCCAAATTTCTCGTCCTCTTTCCTCTATAGCAATCCTCAACTGATCAACAATTTGGATAAAACCCCAAATTTCTCATCCTCTTTCCTCTATAACAATCCTCGTCTTTCGTCCTTTGTTCATCTCTTAACTGATTTTTATATCTCTTATAGGATTGAAAATGAGATGGGATAGATCATGAACTACTCAAGTTCGATTCGATCAACACTTGAATCAAATGGACTCAAATCGAGTTCTTAACGAATTGAAGCGAACTACTTGATACCTGACTTGAAAATCTCGGGAGCAACTCGGAAAATAATATATTTAATTTTTAATTTTTAAATGAAATTATCAATATTATCAAAATTTATATACTATTTTAAAAAAAATATAATATAAAGTCTTCATGTACTTAAGGTTGAAGATATAAATTTCAACAACGTATCTAAGTGTCTTGTGCAGTTGCCTGTAAACTAGAATTATCAATATACCAAAGCAATAAACTTTATTTTTTTTTTGAAGTGAACAAAGCAATAAACTTTAAAACCAAAGCAATAGAGCTAATTATCTAATTTGACAAAACCTATAACTTCTCAAAGCAAGTTTCCTATAGGCCCCTTTGAGGCCAAAAACTTCATAAGAAGTCTCTCTTCAAAAAGGTACAAGCATGGTTCTTGTATTATACGATAGTTAAACCACTGCTTTTATTCAAATATATCAAAAATAAAATATTAATAATAATACGCAAACACCAGCTTCGTTACAACCGTGTTTCGATGCAATCACCACGAAAGTTATGAGAACATGGCATTTGAGAAGCTTCATATCTCATCTCCGGTGGATTCAAGTGGGTAAACAACTTGACATCGTTTAAGCAAGGTCTTGGGTTCGAGTCCTTGTTGCACTAAAGTCAAGTGCGCCACGTGGATCGGTCCAGATTAATCAAGACGAAGCCCCTGAAAGGCAACAAAAAAAAAAATCCAATCTCCAGTTTCTCCAAACATATGGTGCAATCTTGTTCATCTCCATCTTCGACTTTAACCTTGCTTAGTATTTCCTCAATCTTGTACTGGTAGCAGAGTTGGTTATTTATATATAGGGAATTGAAAATCTTATTTCTTTAGGAGTAAATAGTATTTAGACATATGGGTTTATCTAAAAACTGTTAACTATTTTTTAAATCTTGTGAAATTAGAAAAGATAAAAAAAAATGATTTATAAATTTAAACAAGTAATTGTTTTATTGATAATGAGACATCAGAATTTCGTAATGTGTAGGTCTTAATAAATATAAAATGATTTAATATATTTTATTTCATAAATATATCAATCCATACATTGAACAAAACAAAAATATTAATTTTATATACCAATATTTTTAAAAATTATTGAAAAATAATTGTAAATAGAATAATAGTAAAAATTTATATATGGGGAGGCCCAAAATTCCAAATCCCCAACCCTAAAACTAAAATCATTCCTCAGCGGCGCTGTCGACCTTCAAGCTCTCATTCCGCAAAACGCAAACATGGTAAATCTCCCTCTATGCTTTCCTCTTCATCTTCATTTTAGGCATTTCCATCTGTTCACGTTATTTTTCAATTTTCAGGCTCTGTTTTTGCCTTTCTCTTATTGTTTTTAACCCATTAATATTGGAATCCGCTTTGTTAATGTTTTTATGTTGTTATATTGGTGTGATTTTAGGTTCTTCAAAACGATGTCGATTTGTTGAATCCTCCTGCCGAGCTCGAGAAGAAGAAGCACAAGCTCAAGCGTCTCGTTCAGTCTCCCAATTCCTTCTTCATGGTAGTATGTTTAGCATTTTCTTTGCTTTTCATGCCATAATTTGTTCTATATTGTGGGTTAACTTGGTACTCCTCTGTTTTTTTTTGCCCTCTCGAAGGATGTCAAATGTCAAGGCTGCTTCAATATGTAAGTTCACATTGGTATTTTAGGTTACTGTTGGTTTTAAATAGAATTTTCTCAAGGGATATTTAATGTAAATTTCTGGGTTGTTTTTAATTGCAGAACGACCGTATTTAGCCACTCTCAAACTGTGGTGGTGTGTGGAAACTGCCAGACGGTTCTATGCCAGCCGACTGGTGGGAGAGCTAGGCTCACCGAAGGTTGCTCTTTCAGGAAGAAGGGAGACTAAATCTGATCTCAATGCAACGATTGGAGGATGAGTTTCGTATGTTCCCGGTCTGGTTATCTTTTTGATGTGTTAAAAATGTCTTTGTTTTAGCAGCAGATTAAGGGATTTAGAAAGACTATATATCTTTTTGATGTGTTTTATATGTGCTACTGTTCTCAATTTAGTGGCGTTCTGTTTTTTGTGTGTTTTAATGAATGTGGAGTTGCATTTGATTGGTGTTCTGTTTTTTATATAATTATTTCTGTGTTGGCTCTGGATAGAATTTGCCCAAAATTGTTCCGACTACATGTTTTACATTATAAAGAATTTGGGTTTGACATAGCTGAACTTGATGTGCTATTGGAGCTTTGCCTGTTGTGGCCTGATTTTCATGTAACGATTGAGAGAGTGCGAGAATATAGAGTAGTGAAGCTATTAGCCGAGTAGATTACAACTTGGTTTTAGTTTTGATTTAAGGTTTCCTTATGGCCAAATGAATGTTGCAGCTTCGGTGCACCACAAGCTTGATACTGTTTTGATCATAGGTTCTGTTAAGCTGAAATGTTATTTGCTAAGAAAACCATACAGAATGGTTTCAGTTTTGCAGTTTCATCACAGTTGCAAATTCTATAAACGATATGCCTGCTCCTGTTTTTACTAGTATAATTTGGTCCTGAGATGGTTAATATATGTTGAGTGCATTTTATCTTATTGTTTGTCTCCATTTATTGAGATAAACATTAGTAGCTGGAAGATGCTTGTTAGTACGTTAACCCCTTTGGTTTACTAGATAATCCCATGGATGCCCTGGTTTCTTAATGGTTAACTGTTGAAGCAAGCTTTTATATTTCTGGTTTTTAGTTGCATGATTAGCTTTTCTTATGTGGTTAGGACAAAATTTGTGAAAGCATGAATTCGGCTCATCTATAGGTTGCAACAGTAATCACTCGGATATCTTACTAATTATTACATCATCAAGGAACTGGATTCATACAATCTTACTGGTGGGTTCAACTTGTTTAATTTTTTAATGGATTTGATAATCCAAAATAAAAATTATCTTATAGAATGAGAATCTATTTATAATTTAACGGTTGATCTTGCAATACGTTTTGATCACTGGTGGTGTATACTCTGAATATTGAACAAGTTTATGACGTATTATTAAGAATGAATTTAAATATATATTTAGTTTTAGAATTTGATGATGTTTTATTATCTGATTTATTAATGGTGAATGAAATACATGTTATTGATGCATCGAATATTAAGATTTAATTTAAAATTAATTGCATCATATGTCCCCAAGCTACAACTCTCAAGCTTTTGAGTATTTTAATTTCATCTTTAAGCTATTACTATCATTCCAAATTAATACTTAAACTTTTGAACATTCTAATTTCATTCTTAGACTATGACCCTCTTTCTAAATTGGTTCCCAAACCGGTGAATTGTTCAATTTTATCCTTAAATTCATCTGAATATTTAATTAGTTAACATAGATTAACCTGAATTTTATTTTTTTCAAATATATAATAATATAATTTGGCTTAATGATTTTATTAACAAGGATGTGATTAGTATATACATATAATTTGGGATAAAATTGAAACGTTCAAAATGTTTGGGGATTAAATTGAAATGTTTAAAAGTTTCGAGGATTAATTTAGAATGGTAATCATAGTTTAAGGATGAAATTGAAACATTTAAAAAGAGGGTCATACTTTAAGTACATATGATACAATTAACTCTTTAATTTATTACTATATCAAATATTTTTTATCACATAAATGCAGTGGTCAGTTTTATAATATAAATTATTCGACGGTATCTTAATAATTTGCTTGGAATTGGGACAACAGTGTGAAACAAAGTTCGACAATGTACTTTGAGAAATGATAACGTGAGTCATGCATCACACCTAGCTGCTGCAGGTATGCTACTGGCACATTTTACATGACAATTTTACCTATTGTTCTATTATTTATAAGAATATCAATTATTAAATTTTGATGGATAAGCTTTCTCTAAAAAAAATATTATAAGCAAATAATAGGAATAGATTTTTTGTTCATAGCCCATGATGTTTAGTTTGGCAATTAGCCCGTGATGTATTAAAGCTCGCAGATCTTAATTATCTTGTGGACTTTGATATTTATGTGAATAGGTTTCTTCATATATATTCTATTCCCATGCAGGAAGAAGGTTTATCAGGAATTGGATCAGTTTCTCCCTCACAAAATCATATTCAATGAAAAAAAAACCAATATTATAATAATAATAATGAGCAAATGGTTGAGGCGTTAATTTAGTGAGATTAATCATCAGGGACAGACATATAATTTTATGTTGGGGTGAACTTGAATCCAAAATCTAAAATAATTTTAAATTTTCAAGAGTGATTGTCCCCACCTACCCCTTCTGTTCATCCCGGTTGATGACGACAAAAGTGATTAAAGGATACAGGTAGGTTAGGCAATGGACAATTGGGTTTCACAGATTTCAAACGCAACGACAACAACCTCCTTCTCTTTGTCAAGAAATCTACACTCTATTCATCTTATCCCTTCTAATTTGGACCACTTTCTTATTAATCAGTTTCAGCCCTAACACCATTCGGGATGTCTGTAGTTGAAATAGGCTGTGGGATGGATCAATCGTTATTTTTTTTATTAATAATTTATTTTTATTCTCTTAAAATTTTATAAGTTCTCTTTATAATATAAAATCATACATTCATTTCTCACGATCACCCATCCTACGATCTTAAATTACCATCTATCTAATCGTCTTGTAGTGTACAAACACCTACACGATATGCATGGGGATTTCCGCAGATAGAGGCTGAAATTAGAAAAAGAAGCAGGTGGATGAAAGTTGGGGGCAAATGAAGAGAGTTTTCAAAAATCGAAGGACCTAATGATACCAATCACAGAAAGGGGTAAACAAATAGAAAAGGTGGGTTTCTCTTTTTGATCCCTATTTTGTCACCAAAACATAATGCCATGAAATTCAACGACTCGCTGTCCAAAGATGCCAACAACAAAATCATCATCCAACCAATTTCTTCTACTTTTTCAGATATTTTTTACTTGAAAACTTAGTCCACCGAAATTTGGACGCCATTCATTTTCTCATACTTTCCTTTGAAAAATTTGTTATCACCAAATAATTGATCCCATAATTAATAATATATCATTATCTCATTCATTAATAGTTTGTAATATATTATATATAAACACAAATCTTAAATTTTTAATTCAGTTGTTGTTTGAAAAATTGAAAACTAAGCGATGAAAAAAAATATTAAATTTAATTAGTTTCACCTCAAAATTTTTAATTTCACTTTAAAGGGATAAACTCACAGTTTAACAAATATTTTTTGGAATGAAGAGAGCTAAACGCACATCTAATCCTCGAATCTGTTTTCTTCCTGGATAATAGGCCGGACCTCACTCGGCGGAGAATCGAAAATCTTTAAGTCATGTTGCCACTCCCAAGCAAGCTTCGCCATGCAATTTGCCGCTTTATTGCCTTCGCGGACGACGTGAACAAACTGCACCCTCCAGCTGCGCACCAAACATTCCAGCAAACGCGGAACCGGCGATGATATCCTTTCCATGGCTGCTCCTCTCTGAAGCATCCTCCAAGCGTCCCTACTATCCAGCTCGACGATAACCTCCCTACTATCCTTTTTTGACTCGTTTATTATTTGGAAAACAAGGGTTCATTGTACCATTTTTGTGGAAGACAATTTAATAAATAATAATAAATTAAAATGGAACATTATTGTAAACATACATAGAGAAAATAAAATAAAGTGATTAAAATAGGTAGCAGCCAAGTAAATCGAATTGAGATAGTCTAATGTAGCAATTTGGTAGCTACCAACTAGCAAAAGCAGCCATTGCTTGGCCTTTTGCTTCTAGTACTCTTTTTTTTATTTAAAAAGAAAACCCTAATAAGGTTTTCTATTCCCATATTCATGATCCCGACCATTATTCTTGTTGTTATTAATTTTTTAAAAATATATATATATATATATTTAAAAAATTAATATATTAGAGCTGTAAAATTGATGGACCCTCCTCGGGTATTTCACGTTTATATGAAAAGAATAGAAAATAACATTACAAGAATCTCTAAGGTGCATACTAAAGTCAATACTAGAGGCTTTGTAGGATAAGATTTGAGCTTAAATTCGCCATTCACTAGGAACTATTTTGTTTGACTGTATGCAAAGTTAAAACGAGATAATTATGAAAGATAATTATAACGATATTTGAGATGGCATATAAAGACAATGTACTCTTCTTGTTAAATATAATAAGTCTAAAATAAAATCTAAAATTAAATAAGAGAATTTTTTTGAACAAATTCTATGTAGGGGAAGGGGAAGGGGAAAGGGAAATTTTGATTTTAGTGGGTATTAGACTCGCAACTTAGAGGAGATGGAAGATGTCAATGGATAGCATTTAACTATTTACTCTAGAGATCCTCCAGATAATGTCGTGTCTGAAACTAAAATAATCCAGTCAATCTAAAAAAAGGGGAAAATGACGATTAAGCTATAAAGTCCAGTGTAGTGCGAAAAAAATAATCACATATCATTCTTGCTATATAATTTAACCATAAAACATGGTTTTTTTGACGAAATAATCCTTGATTTACTGATCTTCTCTGATATTTGTTTTGAAAAATTAAATAAATGTTTTTTTATATTTTTCATCAAACACATTTAAAAAAAATAAACAATAAAAACTTGTAGTTTTCAATTAATTGTTTTTTTTTTGAATGAATATTCAAAGAACCCAAAATCAAATAAAGAATAATAAAAGGATAAATTCTTTGTTTTGTTTTTTGCACGTTTATTATTCGGGAACAGGGTTAATTGTACCATTTTGTGGAAGACAAATTAATGAACAATAATTATATAAAATGGAAAATTATCGTGTATATATGGAGAAGGAAAAATAAAGAGATTAAAATACGTAGCGGCCACGTAAATCGAATCGAGAAGAAAAACCAAACTATTATAGTCTAATTTAGCAATTCGGTAGCTACCAAGTAGCAAAAGCAGACATTGCTTGGCCTTTTGTTTTTAGTACATGTTTTTTTATTTATTTAAAAAGAAAACCAGGATAATAATTCCATGCCCATATTTATTTTTTGGGGTCAAAATTAGGCAAGAAATTAATAGAGACGAATTTTGCAGACTAATCGAATAAAA